CTCTCCTCTTGGAGAACCAACTCAATCCGAGTACCACATTCCAAGATCTTTCATCAAGCCTACACAAAATCTTCTCGTTGTGTTAGAGGAGCAGCCAGGGAAGCCCAAACACATTGAGATCCTAACCGTCAACAGAGATACTATCTGTAGCTTCATTACCGAGTACCATCCTCCAAATGTCAAGTCATGGGCAAGGCAGGACAGCGTTTTCCGACCTGTTTTAGATGTTATCAGATCATCCACCGACATCAAGTGTCCAGACAACAAGAAGGTTGTTGCTGTTGAGTTTGCAAGCTTCGGCGATCCACCAGCTGGCTTATGTGGAAGCTACGTCTTGGGCAAATGCAACTCCCCTGTATCTAAGGAGGTGGTGGAGCAACATTGCTTGGGAAAATCCAGCTGTTCCGTCCCGATTGACCGCAACCTTTTCTTTAAGAACACTACTGATGGTTGCCCAGGTATCAAGAAGACACTTGCTTTCCAAGTCAAGTGTGCCATATAAAACTATAAGTTGTAGAAAGAGAGAATTAATGTTCTATGTGATATTGTCATTATGAATTCAGTTAAAGATACTAGTTCAATCTTAAGATCCTCGAAGCAAAAATTTATATTTCTTTCTTTGTACGAATTATGTATTCGAATTCAAGAGTATTTATGCAGCTTTTCTTTGCGCTCTCAAATATACACTCGTGAATCAGTAGAACCTTCACAGTTGAATCCACTAATATGAGAAGCAAGAGGTTTGCTTAATTCTTCATCACCCATAAATGTGAGTGTGACAAGATCATCCCAACAAATATAATATAAAGAGTTGAAATTTCCTTTGCCTCCTCTTCATCAGTTGAATTCCTATATACAAATGTGAAAACACTGAATTCTTGCAGTAAATGAAAAATATCTTGGTAAGTGATCAAGCGCTACCCAATATAAGTTAACACGGTGCTAATCATTTGTGTGGCTCGCTTCATAAAAATTCCTAGACAAATGTGTTCAGTCAAATAAATATACATTTGAGATGAAATTAGTAAAATAGATATACTAGCTATGATCAAACATTTCTTTAGTCAAGTAGTCAAATAAATTTATTTTCATATCACTATTACAATAGAGCCGGCAGCACCAGAGTACCCTCACAGTTTTCAGTTTTTGTGTGTTGTATCACAGTTTTTACTCTCTTTTTTTTGGGTCAAATCACAATTTTCACTTCGACCTTGTCTTTTGACCAAGCAGTTGGTGGTCTTTCGACAATTAGGCATAGTAAAGAAGATTGGTTAAGATCTTGTATAGAGATGATAATTATGGATGAGTTGCCTTTTAGCTTGGTTGAAGGTAAAGGGTTTAGGCAATTATATGAATTATTGAACCCCCATTTCAAAGTGTCATCTCGTAGGAAACTTGTGAGCCATTTTATGGTCATCTATGATGTCATGAAACAAAAATTGAAAGGAGAATTAGCATCACATTGACTGTGCCTTACAATGGACACTTGGACAAGTATTCAAAACATAAATTACTTGGTGATCACGACACACTTCATAGATGGCGAATGGAACTTGCATAAAATAGTTTTGAACTTTTGTGTCATTGCTAATCATTAGAGGAACTCAAATGGTAAACTCCTTGAGACTTGTTTGCCTGCTTGTGATATGAAGATACTAACAATTACAGCTGATAATGCTTCAAGGTTGATAATGCTTCTTCAAATACAAAGGCAATAGATTACTTGAAGTCAAAGATGGCTCATTGGAGAAATGGTAGCCTTGTTTAGGGGGAAAGAACATGCATGTTAGGTGTTGTGCTCATATTGTCAATTTGATAGTTCAAGATGACTTGAAAAAGTTAGAGAAAAGTGTATTGGCAATAAGGAATGTGGTTAATTAGGTGTGTAAGATCCTCTCCACAAAGGTTAGAGGATTTTAAGGCTTGTGTTATGAAGGAGCAAATTAAATGCAAGAGGCTTGTAGTGTTGAATGTACCAACTAGGTGGAATTCCACATATATGATGTTAGATGCCGCTTTGAAGTTTAAAAAAACCTTTGTGAGAATGATAGAAGAAGATGATGGTCCATTTATGTCTTGGTTTGGTGAAGAAGAACTGGTTGACGAAGATAACATGGTTGCATATCATAAGCCTAAAAAGATGGTAGGGCCACCAACTAATGAAGATTGGAATAATGCTCTTACCTTTGTTAATTTTTTAAAGATATTTTATGAGATGACATTGAATATGAATGTTTATTTGCATCCCGCTTCTCACATCACCTTTCATGATTTGATTGTAATAGAGGGTGAAATTGATGATTTGTTCTTAGGAGAAGAGCAATTCCTAAGTGAAACTCGCACCTCCATGGTTTTTAATGACATGGCGCATAGCATGAAGATGAAATTTGAGAAGTATTAGGGTGATCTTGATAAATTGAACAAACTTTGATGGTAACACTTATTCTTGATTCTCGATACAAGTTGGGGAACTTAGAGTTTGTATTAAAGAGTCGGTTTGAAAAATCAGAAAATGTTATTAAGAAGAAGAATGAAGTGAAAGAGCCTTTAATGAAGCTTTATGAGGAGTATGACATCTCACCATCACCTACCACTTAATGTAGCAATCCTAGTGCTAATAGTGGTATTAGTGGTACTAGTAATGCTATTAGTACGACTATGATAAATTCTAGCCTACAACTAGGGGGAAGGAAACGAAGTTAGATGAAGAAAAGTTGGATAAAAGGATCTCAAGCAAATGACACTGTGATATTGAAGCATGAGATTGATAGGTACATTTGACCCTATTGAAAAAGTGGTTTTCGACTTCGATATTTTGAAGTGGTGGAAATTGAATGGAGTTAAATATTCAGGTTTGGCACTTAGGGCCCGTTTGGTTCATGAGAAAGGAGGGGGAAATCGTTGCCTAGCCTATAGGAAAGTAGAGGAAAGTGAAGCCATCCTCTCAACTTGGGTTTTGTTTTCCCTCATCAGGGGAAAGTTTGGGGAAATGAATCAACATTAAATACACATTTTTCATGATCATTTTGTCTCCATTAACAATTTAGAATTACAATATATTATTAAATACATTCTTATTTATTTATTTTAATTTAATATGGGTATAATTGAAAATTTATACAAACTTTATTTTCCATTCCTACTCAAAACAAACATGAGAAAGGAAATAATTGCTATCTCCCAATTAATTTCCCAGCATTGCCAAACGTAGGAAAGGAATCTTCAATTTTCTATCTCTTGGGAAATGACATAGGAAATGATTTCCCCTCAAATTCATTTCGTAAACCAAATGGGGCCTTATTGCAAAGGATATGCTTGCCATCCTCGTATTAACAGTGGCTTCGAAATCATGCTTTAACATGAATGGTCGGGTAATTAATTCATTATATGCTTATTTGACTCCTGAGATTGTGGAGACCTTAATTTGTTATCAAAATTGGTTAAGGTATGCTGACATCTCCTTTTTACAGTATGAGCCAACCATTCCAGAGATGGAGTTTTATGAATTAGTTGAGTCAGGTATTTGTTTCTCATTTTATATGATTTATATATATATATATATATATTTACACACACACATATACATTCCCCTTCTGTTGAGGGACACCCTTTAGGGATCCCTACGAATTTTGTTTTTCAATGATCCAAACCATCTATTTTTAAAGTTTACATTCATAGGTCATCCTTACAAAAAAATAAGACAAATCAGAAATCGTTTCAACATCCAATTGTGTCATACAAAATCGGTGAACATGGTATTTTAAAAAAGTACTAAAATTTCAATATTTCAATTGAGTGGTCAAATGATATCGGATTCAAGTGATTTTGTGTAGAGATAATCTTTGAATGCATATCTACAAAATAAAATGTTTGGATTAGTGAAATATAATATAGAGTGGCCCTATAAGGATGTCCCTCAAATAACTTATTTGAGGGATCCCCCAACTAAAACTCTGTGTATATATATATATATATATATATGTATATAGTTTGCATGTTTATCTAATGTTTTAATGTGTTTATATTTCTCATTTGTAGATCGTATGAGTTTACCCACACTTACCAACTCAAGTCCTGCTACTTTTTAGTAATCACTTAATATGTGATATTGTGAGTCTGTTTTACAATTCGAATAGCTATTTCATTACTAAGTTTTAGAATTGGGAACTTATTGGTGTTTATGTTGCACTTGCAGAGGTTGAATTTTGGTACATAAAGGCAACATCTATGGATCTTCCATTGGTTGTGTTTAAGTTTTTGGGTTGTGTTCAGAATTTCTAATTTGTTTTGCAATTTAATTATCAATGTTTACAAGAGCCACCAGCTGGCTCTTGTGGAAGTTAAGTCTTGGGCAAATGCAACTCCCCTGTATCACTAATGTTTGCCCAGATATCAAGGAAGACACTTGCTTTACAAGTCGAGGCATATAAAACCATAAGTCGTTGAAATAGAGAATTTAATGTTCTAGGCAATATTTGTCATTATGAATTCAGTTAAAGATACTAGTTCACAAATTTATGTTTCTTTCTTTGTACCAATTATGGATTCGAATTCAAGAGTACGTATCCTGCTTTTCTTTGTGCTATCAAATTTACAGTCATGAATCAGTAGAACCTTCACAATTGAATCTACTAATACGAGAAGCAAGGTTTGCTTAATTCTTCATCACCAGATCATCACCCATAAAATGTCTGAGTGACAAATCATCCCAACATATATAAGAGTTCCTGAAGCTTAGGTACTTCATTTAGGCAACCCAGTTGATATTTCCTTTGCCTCCTCTACCTTGGTAAGTGATCAAGCACTACCAAATATAAGTTAATACGGTGCTAATCATTTGTTTGGCTCACTTCTTAACGTGACCTCACAGTTTAATTCTTAGATCTTTATTCAAGAGTCATCTCTGCAAAATAAACTGTCAAATCAGAATTTGTTTAGTCAAATAAATATACTTCTGAGATTGGCATAATTTGTTTAGTCAACTAGTAAAATATTTATTTCTATATCACTATTCCAGTACTTCTCTCTATCTCCACTCGTATTTGGTTTCTCATTAAAAATTGGTACTTCCTATTCTCTCCCACCACCTCCCCTGAGACCCCCTTATTCTGCCTCCCACAACAGCCGATAAAGCCAAATGTGTCTCCAATGTTTTCCTCTGCACTCTTCTGTGACACATGAAGCAAGAGCCACAAAACCCAAAATTTCAAAGCCTTCTGATCAAGACTCTTCAAAGACTGAAAACTTTTAATCTTCTCAACGGAAAAAATCGACTCGGCATCGCCGCTTGCATTGGCAGAACCCTCTTCAAGTGTCACAGAGTCTTCCATGTGGTTGTCCACCAAAGTAAAATCAACCCTTTCTTTCACTATCATCCAGAGTCTCTGTAGTATCACATACATGAAACCCAGAACCTAAATTGCAAGCTTTGGTCTTTTCTAATACCGAAAAGTGAGGAAATTTCATCTTGACATGAGGTTGACGAGGCAGTTACCAAACACAAACTAATCTATCCAATCCAGGAGAGATTTGAGTTTGAAAAACTTGCATCAGCCGCAGTATCATACTTGTTCAACTGATCACACCTACAAAATGAAAAGGAGATCAGACGTTTGTAGTGCAAAGTAAAATACATCAAAATAATCCAATATAACTTTTTCTAAAGAAACTATGTACTTCTACTTTATTAAATTTTCTTAGCTTCACAATCTCTAGTTGCAGTTGATAACGTGCTCAGACCTGATAGAAAACCTTATCAAATAATTCAGGTTTCACCATGTTCATCCTCCCAAAAGGAAGCAAAAATACTAGGGACACGACATGAATGATTCCGACATTTAGCAACCAAAAAAGCAATGTAGCTATTAACATCCATTTGGATAACTTCATGAATAGGAAAAGATTTTTATTCTTTTTAACTACTCTTAACCTACATTCACATGCCTGCCAACTTCACAAAACAATCTCACAGCTATGATAGATGATGTTGACACTCCAAGGAAAGAGGGCTAGAGGTAATAAGCTTATAACTGCATACAAGCCAATAGTGTATGTTCTTTTGAGAAAGGATAGAACCTTTTAAATCACAATCAAATAGCTACTACAACTCCTAATCAGTCGAGTTACAAAGTTCTCTAATTGCACTCCTGAATGCAATTTGGCAGGGATTGCACAACAGATCATGCTAATTACTTACGAAGTGGCACATAATTTCCACCCTAGACAACCTACATATCAAGCTCAAATTGATACACGGCAGAACACCACAACGGAGGGAGGCAAACACAAAGTGAATAAATTGCTGAGACATTCCTATTAACCTTGAGGTATGTATGGCCTCTCAATTACATGACATACGAATTATGATAATGCATACATCACAATCACCAATCATAATGCACATACAAATGTTGAAATGAACAGGGAAAAGAAAATCATATAATAGGGATGTTCACCAAGATAATATATTAATGACCAGAAGATACCTTTTAAAAAGGACAAAATCTCGGTCAATATTTTTGATAATGGAATATAAGTTTATAGAAACTGTAAAGTTCAAGTCCAGGTTGCTTACATAAATTTACTAGTATTTAGGCAGCACAACAATCACTTGTTCGCACATACAAATACCAATCCTTTTCCAGCATCTTCGATCTAATTCAGAATATATTTCTCTCTCTCCCTCTTCAAGCTTCCCCAAACTGGACCCCAATTAATTTTGACCACAACATATATTCCACCAGCACACCACAAGATTCAAACAAAAGATGATTGTCAAAATAGGAGGGAGGAAGAACGGCAACAACATCTGGAGCCATTACATCTGCCCCTTCCCAGTAAACCAACACTCTCAGGCAGCAGAAATAAAGAGTTGTCTTGGTTGCCTTTGGAGAACAAGTGCAATTGTTATTAGCTGAACTTGAAGAAGTTAGCAGAGTCCATTAAACAGGGGCACAATCCAAAATGCGGGTGAAATGTTTGAAGAGTAATGTTGTGTGATGGTTTCATCCTCTAAATTGAAAATGCCTATAACACTCGGTCTGCTATTGCTATCAGTATCAGGTACACGTGCTCCTCCCAATTTTGTACAATCATCCATGTAATATATTGAATTGGGTTGGCACCCAGGAAAGTTTGAAGCCAAAACAGAGATACAATAATCGTCACCCAGGAACATAACCTCATCCCCGATACTTTTTATTTCAACATGCTGCACAACGGATCCATCCCTCTCATTGAACACCAACTTGTAAACCATGAATCTCTCAGTCCAAAACTCTTCATGGTAGGCATCTCCGTCAACATCTTTCAAAAATCTTCGAACATGCAACAAGTCTCCATTGGTTGATTCCACGAGATAAGCTTTATCAGCATAACGCGAGAACGGACATTCTTGTGGGTTAAGAATCTTTGCTTCTATTGGCTTGCTATTGATATCAAAGGAAAGAATGCTTCCCCACTTTCCAACTGCAAAGACTTGACTTTTATGAAAAATAGCATCAGTAAGCAAGCACCCTCTTAAACGCTTGCTGTAAATCCAAAACTTTTGTCCTCCTTTAGTGAAAGCCAACTCAGAAACATGTTTGTAAATTGCTACAACCACATAACTATCTGGATTCAATGTGGGATCCTCAGATAAGATAATCTTCGGGAGGCAAACCTCGCAGTACTTACGGAGGACTTTGAAATCCAAGCGAGGGAGACGAATGGGCGCCACTGCTTTTCTGAAAGGGTTCACCAGAGTTATAGTCAATCCACCTCTATCTAACACATCCATTGTCGCCAACCAACCATGGCCATAGCTAGAATCACAATACCTCTTACTATTACAAGGCACTGGCAATTCAATGTCGTAGATTTTTCCTGCAGGGAAGCTGTACAGTTTTAGCTTTCCTTCACATTCTGTTGGAACCAGGAGCATGGGGAGTAGCTTACGCCAACGTTGCGTTTTGTGATTGTATTCTTTTGCAAGAACACACCATTCTTTGCAAACAGCAGCAAATCGAATATGGTCAATGGGTTCTACCAACCTATCCAAAACCAAAAAGAGAACGGGCAGAGGAAGACTTGCCCATTCTAATACTTGACTGCTACTCATCCTCAAGCCAACATCCATATTCCTATGTCTTATGAGAGACAGAGTGTATATATATGCATGTATGAGCAACAAAAGAACACAACAACAATAAAAACGAACATTTACAAATCTCCGATCTCAGACCACAAAGATGTCTCTACTTCTTGAGATATAAGTTCAAGAATCTTACAGGTCCTTAGCTAAAGAAGTCAGCATGGTCGCCATTGTCACTAGCTCGCTGGTACACAAGCCACCTCTTTCTGTCTCTTTCTCTCTCTCCCAACAGCTTGGATCAAAATTTTCTCATCCAAATGATCAAGAATGAGGATGCGAAATTCAATCGAACCTCTCCGATTCCTTGTGGAAAATGGTTGACTTTACAAGGGCTGGTCATCAGAACCAGAGACTTGATTTTCTTCTTGTTTGGCTGTTGGATGAGTTTTGAGTGAAGTTTTTGGTTCCAACTTTCCATTCTGAAGGCTTTTGTCTTTTTTCTGTCGCGATAGAAAGCAAAACCTAAAACATGATTTTAATGTTATTTTGAATATTTGTTTAATAAAGTCAAACAGAGTAACATTTATTATCGAAATGGGGATGTAGCTCAAATGGTAGAGCGCCCGCTTTGCATGCGGGAGGTACAGGGTTCGATCCCCTGCATCTCCATTCCTTTTTGTAGTCAATTCTTATTTTGCACTAGTTTTAGTTTTAGGGAAGTGAGTGACCATTTTAGTCTCTATTTTTCACACTAGTGAGTTCATGACTATTATATGGACAACAAATAAGGATTTTCTTTGCCCTCCATTTGGGCAACTGACCATTTAGTCTCTATTTTCTAAAAATTGACAAACATATTTTTAAAGGTATACGAATTTTTAGACGGGTTAGATAATGGAAATCAAGAATTTTGTTTTATTTAACGAATAATCTAACTTTCTAGATATAAAAGTTTATGATAAAATGGCTCGTGCCTCGTTATTTTAGCATAAAAATAGATTAAATAAATAGGTTTAGAGAGCCTCGCGTAAAAGAAAAATAGAGGTCAATAACATTATAATTTTAAAGATTATTTTTATCAATTTTCAAAAGACAGTAGCTAAACTGTTATGTATAGACACGAAACTTTATGAGTGTAAATTGTAATTCATCCTTAATTTTCATTCAATATTTGGTTACAAGAAAATACAAAAAGTTATTGAAAAAAGAGAAAAAAAAGAAGAAATAGCCATGAGTGACAATGAAACGACAACGTTTTCGTCAGTTTCAAACTTTGGTATCTTCCTAACCCAACGCCGCCTCTACTTCACTCCACGGTACCACTGTTTTCCCGTGTCAGCTAAACTCATACGAAATGGCGTCGATGATGGCATTGCTAAGGAGCAGCAGAGGAAACATGGCGTGCATTTTCGGCACGAGGAGGTGGAACCACGTCGCAGCCATGCCTCCGCCGTTCGATGGAGTCATGGAACGTAAGATTTTATCGCCACAGTTCGTTCTGCCCGAGTCTGATCGGGACCCAGCGCAGAATAACAACATCGGATTCGGGTTCCCCAGTTTCTTGTTCGGTGGATCGATGGAACTCATGGCTGTCCCCAAGAGAAAGGTATATGTCTATATATTTAGGGATTGAGATTTTAAGGGTTTTAGGGTTCTGGGTTTTGGAAATTATTTACTGTATGAAACTTTTTTTTTAGATCAATAACAATAATAAATTCTTTTCTTTTTTAATACTGAAGTTTATTCTTAATTGGGTGTGTAAATCCCTGTCCTTTTCTCTTCGCTGATAAATTTGTTTGCCTTCTGTATGATAGAATTGCTCTGTTCTATATTGGGCACCATTTTTGAGCTTGCTTCTCTGAGTGTTCTCTTTCATCACTGTTTATGAAGATAATTAGTATAGAGTGCTTGTGCCAGTAGAAATTAGAGGTCAATTTTCTGATTTGGCCACTGATTGTCATTCTTGAAGGTAATGTCCCTTTGTGTGAATGAATGGTTAATATAGTTCTGGCTCATCATCTTTCTTAGATGTGTTTTGTTTCCATGTTTTTCATCACCTTTTGAAGATTTACAATTGAAGGCATCATATGGCCTATAAGTCTGAAGCTTCATTTAATTTTTTGTTGTCATTGTGCTATTGTAATTGAAGTTTTAGAAGATGTGGAGTTTTGATATTTAAGGCTGGATATCGTGCAGACTTCTCCCCACAAGAGAGGCATAAGAAATGGCCCCAAGGCTTTGAAACCTGTTCCAGTGATAATCCGATGCAGGTTAGTATTTTGTAAATTATGACCAACACAGCTCTTGGTCTAGTTGTATTTGTTTTCCCGATATTGGTTGAGGTCCCAAGTTCAGATTTCCCCTTTCAATTCATCACAACAAAAAGTGTTTTGTAAAGTATCTAAGATTTTTCATTTCAGTGGAGAAGTCGATGCATTCCAGGAAATACTTATGATATCTTATTGATAATTTAGTTTTGAATATTGTCTTAGTTAGAGAAACAACCAAATTTTGGGGGATTACTTCATTAATAATTTTTCATCCTTTCTTGCCCTGCAATAGAAAAAGTCTGGTATTCTGACACTTCCAGAACAATTGAAGTTTCTGGTTAGTCTTTGATCAATGTGTTGAGCAGATGAAATGATTCCGTTTATCAAGATAATGTTCATTGTATTACCGGGGTCGCAGCATTGAATTAGAAAGTTTTGATGGGAAGTAGGTTGTGGGGTTTCATAAGGAAAAAGAGAGATTAAGAAAGCATGGGAAAATGATATTTACCAATTGAGAAAAAGCATGAAATTGAACAACTTAGATGTTTATATTTTATTGCTGAGAGAATGCTTTGGCCTACTCTTTTAGTCTCATGAAGTAAATCCAGTATGTTGTTTAACTTTTTTTGGTTATACTTATTATATAGATGCTTATATATAGCAATAAAACGTTCATTTTGATTGTGACTGGTTGCAGGGCTTGCGGGCGTGTTAAGCTGCCACACTTTTTTTGTTGCAGTGGAGATCGGGGAAATGGCCATGAGCGTGATGGCTCAACAAGTTGAGATTGAAGTTGCTGCGGCATAGAGCACCCAACTGTAGTAGACTCGTAGGATATCTCGGATTTTGAAGAATTGAAATGAAACTTTTCTTTTGCTGCTAAAAATGAAGCTCTCTGTTGAGATTGTTCTGTTTCCCAATCTATGGTTTACTATCAAATGCTTCTTATTGTGCCAAAACTAGCATCATTGAACTTGTTTACTGCCTAGCAGAGGCTGCCTTAATTCTTTTTAGAATTTAATAAGCATAAATAGTGCGAAAAATTGCGTATATATAGTTGGTCTTACATTCCTTAACCTTTTTCATAAAATCAATGAAACATATTATTTCATTTTGTCTACTGGGTGTGCCTGTTGTTAAGCTGGTGCAACCAACATTCCTGAACCTCAAAGAAATTTAGCTAGGAAAACCTTTGGTGGGAAGGGAAAGTCAGGATAGAAATAGAGGCAGAGGCAAGGCTGATGAACAAGCTCGAGCACATGTGAAATTACAGAAAATGTAGCGAAGGAATTTAGAACGGCCATTTTCCAAATTAAGCAAACATCTTATAATGAAATCAAGATAGGAGCTTATAACAAGCCCTCATTAGAGTAACAAAGTCCAAAAACACAAGATGAACACCACACCACACTCAACGCACATAATTGCTCATTAGTATTGTAAATACAAAAAAGATGAGATATCACTTAGTACAATCAAATAGTTCTTCATTCCTCGTTGTTTCATTCCTTGTCGCCCAAATCATTGAACGCATCGTGCAAATCATTGAGCATTTCATCCCAATTCTCCTCCACATGCTGATGAAATGAGTATCCACCAACATGAAGAACCAAATTGTCCATACCACGAAGAAATTTAGGAAATTCAAAGCCCTCGCACATAAATTTACTAATATGAGAGCCAAGCTTTGATATTTCATCGTCGTTGAAACCAGAACAATATCTGGCGTCCAACATCACCAGATCTTTGCATCAGCACAGAAACATGACAAGACTATCCCGACTAACTTTTGCACCTTTCAAAATTAAGTACTTGATATTAAGCACCAACTTCACAATTGAGGATGCCTCACAAATTAGCCTTTGGACAAAGCTAAACCATACAAATTCTTGCAATGTGTTTGTATAATTGCAAGTATTTTTGCCAAATTAACCCAATGATAACACCTCCAAATGTTTCCACTTGCCAATCAGCTCTAGGTTCGTGTGTTTGCTGTCCAATGCATCTCCTGGTAAACTCAAAGTCACAAGGCCAGGACACTGCACACATTCCACAACAACAAAAATGCTACATTTACATTTACAAGGAAAATTAAACTACACTTGGATTGGAATTTTGAAAATTAACTTAAATGAGAAAACTTACACATTTGCAGCAAATTCAAAGGCTTCTACTGTGCAGCATTTGGGAAGCTTGAGCACAGTAGCATTTCCGCTGCTCCGATTGATCACAAACTTTAGCAAAGCGGTGACAGAGCAACGATCCCCGTCAATTTGATACTCACTCACAAATCTGTCCATAAGATTTTGAAAATTCGGACATTCAGACACATCCCAAGGCCAGACTTCAATACATTCGCAGCATGAGGGATTGAGGGTCGCCTTGTACCACAACTTGCACACAAAAGGGACATCCAAAAGCAGTGACTCCTTTCCAACTTTCTCCAACACTTTGACCAAGCAGTCCATTTCCAAGTCCTCCCATCTTCGTTTGTCCATCTGCAACTACGATTTAATATAACTACATCTGTATACAATAAATTAATTAAACACCAAATTAAAAGAAAAAAAAACCATAAATTTCAAAAGAATACAAAGAAACCTGGGAAAACAATCATATGGTAATCTTTTTCCTATATAATAAGAACAAACAAGATAATTAATTGATGGAGTGTTGGATAATTGTTCATTCAACAAGCATTTTCTGCATTCCAACAACAAAAAAGTAGGAAACTAGTTACTAGTCCAGCAATGATATAGAGGCTATATACTTCACGAGGAAGCAATTCTAGTATTTCCTTTTGGAAAAGCAAGTAGGGCCTTTTTTTTCAAAAGCAAGAGACTCTTTGGCACCATCTGCTAAGCTAAAGTTAAGAAGGACTTACCAAAGCAAGCAAGGCCATAATTGTCCTATCACCAAACAAATCATCCTTATCACCGAAAGGACTTTCCACATTTCAATGCAGTGCATTGGTTTCGGAGGCTGATTAGGGCTAAGCACAGTTTGATTGACCGGACCAAGTGCTTGGAACTGCCTACCAAACTGAAACTGATCAAGTCGATGAAGGAAATTTGTACTTTTTTCTTGTGCGCCATGTCTTCAATGCGAAGAGAGAAGAGAATAAGGCGGAGTTGGCAGAGGGGAGGAATTGTCGTTGTTGTCGTCGGTGTGGTGAGGTGAACATGTCGTTTGGGAGAGAGCCAAGAGAGAAGAGAATAAGGCGGGAAACAGGGATAGGAATGGAATTAGATGAATTAAGAGTCTCATGATCTCTTCTTCTATGGACTTGACTTGTGCTTCACTGCTTCGGCTTCCCAGTCTCAATCTCAAGCTCAAATTTGCAGCTAAATTTTTTCAATTGCGGGTTTCAGACTTTCAGTCCATCGTAGAGGTTGAAAATCGGCCTAGGCGGGTGGCTATGTGGCTAGGCGGGCGCTAGGCGGCTAGGCGGGAGCTAGGCGGCTGGGCGGGCCTCCTAGGCGGGATGGGTCTTTTTTGGGTGCCGAACCCGGAGTACGAAGCAGCCGAAACCGAAGAAATCGAAGCTTGAGTAGATAGAGAAGCGAAATGGCTGACTGCGATACGTCCCTCTGCTAGGTGCAAGCGTCGTGTTCGTTTTGAATATATTTAAAGTGTAGCCGGGCGGCTATACTCTTAAAATATTCGAATATATTAATATTTAAAGAGTATAGCCGCACGGCTATACGTTTAAAATATTCGAATGCAATTAGAAAGTACAGCCGCGCGGCTATACGCTTTAAATATACAATTTCATCATATCATTTTAAGGTTTAGGGATAAAATACCACTTTAGCCCAAGCGATATTGGGTAATGAGAATTTAAATACTTTCCGATACCTTCCATTCAAATCTGTAAAATGTTGCTATTGGGGTGTGGATGAGGGTGAGGGTGAGCTAGCCATCAGAAGGGAATCTGCATGGTTCAATTCCCCAAGTCTTCTCCGCGTAGTCTCGGATTGTTCTGTCGCTGCTAAATCTCCCCGACCCGGCTGTGCTAAGGATGCTCATCTGAGTCCTCTTATTTGGATCCGCAAATGCTTTATCAGCAGCAGCCTGTAGTCATATAGATTCAAATCCCACTTACCATAGTAAGTTATACAACACCAAACTCAAAATGCATATATATGCTTTGGGTTGGGACTGTGCCAAGTAAACAGAAATAATTACCTGAGCCTCTAAATAGCTCTCAAAATCAGAACCAAGCAAATAGAAGTCTTTACCACCGTCCACAGTATCACATAGAGATTGAAAATAGTCTTTAAAGCCGAAAAAGCCATCTCGGACCATCCTACACATAATAAATATCACAGCAGACGATCTAAAGGAACATCTTGCTGCGTTTTCTGACAAGCTCGGCCCATCTTTGATAAAACTAGATCATACGGATGTTGAACAAGAATATGATGGCCACAAGGCTGACAATGAAGTTGATTATTTTGATTTTGATGAGGATTTTAAGGAGGAGGACCATGACCCCTTGTTGCCCAGAAACGAATATGATCTTTATGTTGATAAAGTCTCATTGGCTTCTTCTGGGCCCACTACCACCACAGGTTCTGTGTTTGATGATGAAAATTATGATGAGGAGGAAATTGAAGAGCAAGTGGAACATGATCATGTGGTTGCAACTGAAAACAAAGTTGATGTTGATGTTGATGTTGATGTTCAAACTATTTCTTTACCAGCTGAGGAGTGTCAAGTGTTTTCAGATAAAAGTTGCAATTTAACTCCCACTCCACGGCCAGTTCTATGCATAGAAGATGGATTGGCTATCTTACGATTTTCGGAAACCTTTGGTGCAGATCATGATAGGCTTAGCTACTCCGCTCCTAAACATAGGCATACGAAATCCATGGATGTTTCTGATGATATTGTTGAAGACGACGAAGAAGAGGCATTCTTGCAAGGATTTCAGTCTTTGACAGTGAAACATGGCATCTCAGAGTCCTCATTCAAGGATGATGATTCGAACTTCACAAAATTAAAAGACTCGTGTTTCGTTGCTGAACCAATGAAACAGGATCTAACAGTATATGTTTCTGAGGAAAGGGAAAGGCAATCACCATTGGTTTCTAAATTTTTCCCTCTTGATCAACAAGACTGGGAAGATGGAATTGTTTGGGGCAATTCTCCTATAGCAAGTGACAGTGACGTTGAGAGTTGTGAAATATCAGGACCTGATCATGAAGCCTCAGTTAAAAATGACACAGAACTTGATAATGGGCCACAAAATATGCTGCATAATAGCTCATCTAGTAATTCATCACTTACTTTCTCAGCAAGCAGAATTTTGCGCCTAGACGTGGATGACCATGCACACGGTACAAGGCAGAATGCTGGTGAGAAGCTTCAACAGAGTCATGGTGTGAGGCAATTAATTCGCAAACTTGCTTCACAAAACCGGGACATGCTGGAAGGATCTTGGTTAGACCAAATAATATGGGAGCCTGATAGTGATACACCTACAGAGAAGCCAAAGCTTATCATTGATCTTCAAGATGAGCAAATGCTTTTTGAGGTTTTGGATAACAAGGACAGTGAACATCTAAGGCTTCATTCAATGGCCATGATGGTCTCTCGCCCCCTAAAGCCGAGCAATGGAGATTCTTTTGAGCTGACAGATAATGAAGGTCAATTTGGTTGGCAAGATGTTGCAGGTGATAGATATTATTCAAAGAGCAAAACTGCTTCTCAATCGAAATCAAATTCTAAAAAACACACAGTGACAGGCATAAAGGTTTATCAATCCCAACCTGCACTGGGGAAGAAAAAGTCTGCTGCTTGTCGAGGACGCACCACTGTTACTGGAGCAGATCATACTGATCCGCGCAAACTAAGCATGGAGGCTGCACGAGAGGTTCTTCTTAGATTCGGTGTTTCTGATGAACTGATTGCGAGGCAGACTAGATGGCATCGGATTGCAATGATAAGCAAGCTTTCCAGTGAGCAAGCTGCATCTGGGGTCAAAGTTCAGAGTTTTTCTTCAGCCATAGGTGGGGACGAAAATGAGAATGGCTGTGAAGGAAATAATGGCGATCTAGATTCTTTTAAGGGCGATTTGGAAAATCTGCTTGATGCAGAAGAATGTGATCAAGAAGGTCTGGGCATAGGAGGTGACCATGAATCCAAGCATAATAAACCGGATGGTGCCAAAGGGCTTAAAAAGAGAAGCCGGCCATCCATCCTTCAGACAGAAGAGGAAATTGAAGATGAAGCAGCTGAACAAAGCAGGCTTCTCATGGATGATGATAAGACTGCGAGGAAGAAGAAGAAAGTAAGATTTGTGGAGGAGGAAGCAGGGTTGGCTTCTGGCTTGCAAACATGTTTTGGTATCGAAAATCCGGGGAGGCCATTGAAGCAAATTATTGGTGCAGCCAAAGCTAAGGGATCCTATACTTCAAAAGAGAATCCAGTGGGAGATGCAAAAGTTGCTGGTAATCTTCCCAAAAGAAACAAGACCGGAAAATGTAAAGGAAATAGAAATAACGATACTACTGAAGATACAGATCTGATGATTAAGAAACTGATAATATCAATAAATGGAGATAAGGGGTTTCAGGAGAAGAAGTCAGCGAGACAGAGTTTCAACGGTGGAGCATGTGATCAGCCTGGACACATGAGAACAAACAAGAACTGCCCCAAGTATATTCATGGAGAAGATATCCATAGAGCTTCTCAAAAATCGGCTACTCTAAATCCATCTTGTCAATCTCAGCCGAAAACAAGGGCAAAGGAGCTGATACCTAAAAGCTCTGCAACTAAAATTTCGGTGATTGAAGCTTCCCAGGTTGAAAACCATGGTCTGAGCACAAAGCTTCCTAGATTGAAATTCAAATGTGGGCCTAACAAAATGAAGTCTGAAAATGTGCCAGTTGAACCCCCTAGTGTGAACCATGATACTGAATCACAAAGGGCAACTGTTGTTATACAGGCACCAGCAAATACAGATAGAGAAGAGGTGGAAAGTTCCCAACAGAAAGGGCCATCTGCGGAAGCGAAGAAAGAACTGCATCGATATCATAAGAAAATTGTAATTAAACTTCCAAAAAAACTATTGATTTTAGATCATGATCATCAGGTCGATTTGCGTAAAGAAAATATACAACTTTGACTTCATCTCAGATGGCAGAAGCATCAATGAAAGAAAGTAGTTGCATCTCTTGTGTAAATTTATGACTCTCAGTTGTAATTTGCATAACAATCATTTAACCAATAATACCATCTTTGAAAACTATAGCTGCCTCCCAAAATTTGTCCACATACGTATCAGTTCTGAAATAATTTGTGAATGCTCAAACAATAATTCTTTGGTGAAAGGCAACCAAGACACCAGCAAACAAAGTTACAAAACTAAAGTTAATTTCAGGGTGACAAAGAAAGAGACTCTACATCTATCGAAACACATGTACACTAAGATACTTAAAAGAAAACTTACGAATCAATAGGCTGCTTGAGAAAAGTAGAATTATATGATAAAACCCGGTGACAGAACAACTACTTTCATTTCGATATTCATTTTGAAATCTTCTTAATGGGGAATATGTAATTGCAGCTTCTTTGGAGAAAAGGACAATAGCAGACATGATAAACCGATTAATTAAAAACTGTCACTATTTCCAAGTAAATTGAAAACAAATCCATCACTCTAACTCGTTGATACCCATTGCTTGTCACTATCATCAGTATATATTTCAACATGCATTCAAATATACAATCTCAATGATATGCTGATATCTATAACTTGCATTGGGCAGAAATACAATTTCTCATTAAGTTATAACTTATAATTAAAGGAGTTTTATCAAACTCACTTAACACAACAAATTGACAGACATTAGTGAAATGATTAAACATTTTACTGAGGAAAAAGAAAAAGAAAAGACAACTCAAGGAGTACCTTTTCTGAATATTGTCAGATGATGAAACACAAACTTGCCGAGCAAACATATTGATCATTTCATCCACCTCCTGTCTTGATACTTCATTTATGTCTCGAATCTGCAGATTATATACAAAAAGGTAATAGTAGTTTAATGTTAAAAAACATTTGTGAAGTGATCCAACAGGAAATGTCGTTTGAATCCAATTTTACCTTATTTAGTAATAAGGATTTTTCTTCGGTGGCTCTTTCAAGAGCAGTTGTGACAGAAGTGAGAAAAGAACCAAGCAAACTAAATTATTTCAATTTCGGGTTTCAAACTTTCAGTCAATTGGCTAGGCGGGCGCTAGGTGGCTAGGCGGGCGCTAGGCGGCTAGGCGGGCTCTAGGCGGGCGCTCGGCGGCTAGACGGCTAGGCGGCTAGGTGGTTTCTAGGCGGGCACTAGGCAGCTAGGCGGTGGCTAGGCAGTGGCTACGTGGCTAGGCGAGCGCTAGGCGGTCGCTAGGCCGGCTCTAGGCGGCAAGGCGGTCGCTAGGCGGGCTCTAGGCGGCTAGGCGGTCGCTGGGCGGCTAGGCAGTCGCTAGGCGGGAGCAAGGCGGCCAGGCGGGTTGGGTCTTTTCTTGGTGCCGAACCCCGGAGGACGAAGCAACGACTGCGAGTGCAAGTTCCGTCCTCTGCGAGTGCAAGCTTCGTGTTCGTTGGAATATATTTAAATAGTATAGCCGTACGGCTATACCTTTAAAATATTCGAATCTATTTAGAAAAGAAAGTATAGCCGATCGGCTATACGTAAAATAAATTCGAACTGCACGTCATATAGCCGGACGGCTATACTTTTAAATATACAATTTTGTCATATTATTTTAGGGTTTGGGGCTAAAATACAAATAACATGAGAAGAAAGTTCCAACTGCACATCATATCTCATTGAAAAATCTACAAATTACTGTTCAACTTCTTAAATTACCGTGACAAGAAGATGAACTAGGTATGCACAATGTAGAAGGATGGTGATAGCTCTCTTTAGAAGGCATAAGGTAGTTCTTTGTTAATAAGTTACAAAAATATGGAATACAAAGTTATTCACCATATAAAATCAGATTCACCTCGATACTGTCATATCGATGGATAATGCCAAGATATTTAGCAGCTGCTTTTTTGTACTTGTGTATTCGCTTTGTCTGCACATCAAACATTGCATCGAAACTAGCTTGCAGTTGAAAGTGTTAATAAATTTCAGTGTAATCTATTAGACATACCTTCAAGACAAAAGAGAAAAGATGAACAGGATAGAAGTTCTAAGAACTTGTGACCAAACCTTCACACCACTCATTGATTCAATGTACTCAGCGAGCCTCATTTTGTTAACCTTCTTAACCTACAACACGAGCAAATATACAACAGATTTAAATAATAATAATAATAATAATACAATAGAAGCCAAAAGCTTAATATATTTTTGGTTCCTAAGCAAATATCAAGCCTAGAGAGTACCATCATCCATTCTTGTTGAAGGTCAGGATCTGCTGCATATGCTCGCAAGCCAGTTGCAAGCAATGTCCCACGCTTTATTCCAACCCAAATGCTCTTCACCAACAAGCACTCTCATGACCTCAGCTATTTTTAAGAGATAGGTGGGTATCACTGACCTGCAGAGCACCCTAATTAAGACAAGGAAAAATGAGCCTAGGATAAAAGGAAACAGAAAAGCAAACATGAATGACCATCAGAGGAAAGTAATAAATATAAGTTCATTGTAGCTAAACAAGCTGCCAGATTGGGTATTCCCTATAAATCAAGACTTAGACCTTCTCTGGAAATTCATCAAAGTTACTGTGAGCCTCTTTATATCTCCGAATTATGTCTTATATGGATGCTGAGGCAAAGACATATATTGTTGCTTAAATCGCAGTTCCTTCCCCTGTAATACAAAATAAAGTGAAAAGGGAAACATACTAAATGAGAATATCTATGAGTTATCCACATAGAAACCAGGTAACTGAGTTGATGACTTTTCTCTGGAACTTCTAAGAGAATACAAAAAAACAATAATGATGTTTAATGTTTACATGGTGGATAGAAACACAGGGAAATAAGAAATGCAAAAGTAAGAAGGAAAGCTTGGTGTTGGTGAGAGATAAGACTTTGGGGGCATAGGCATGAAGAAAGACGTGCAAAAGTAAACAAGGAAGGTAAAAATAAGGGACAGGACGTTAAGTTTGACATTATTTGGGTTAGAGTAATTATTATTTTTAATTAAGAGTAAATTGGGTTTTTGCTTGAAGAATGATGTGCCAATTTTTAAAGTCTCTTATATTATATTTAATGAGGTGGCGTACGGAAGACAAAAGTCAAGCATATCCAAGCAAAGGTAAAAGTCGGGAATTTAAGAGGAGAAATTGACAATTCCCTTGTTTGGCAAGTTAAGCTCAGAATTTATTAAATGACGCGCGGAAAAAATCATGGAAATTGGAGCATCAAATTCTCAAGTTTAATTTCCATCAAAATAGGAGTCATTTAACAATTTCCATAGTGTCATTTACAAAATTCGACATACATAAATCCAAACATTGAAATCTTCAATTGCCAAAAATTGAAATGATGGAAATCAAAATTCCGTCATTTTATAATAAACTAAGATCATCATTTAATACAACATTCAAGACCAATTTGTTCCCGTTAACAATTTAGAATTACAATTTTATCCAACAACAAAAACCCTTTGTAATTTTTATTTTATTTTATATATTTCTAACTTAGGTATAATTGGAAAACTAACCAAAGTTTGCTTTCCATTGTAGAGATGAGAGAAACGCATGCTAGTCTAAATACTTATTAGTATTACCAGTCAATGAAAGATTGAATTTCTTCAAAATGCTAAAAAAATAAAAAAAAACTTTAATTTTAATTACCAAGTGCCAAAATCCACATATGGAGTCCAACTTGTACATGTATGAGTATGACACGATTTGTTTTCTTTTCTCTTATTTTTTGTCTTTTGGTGTGGAAAGCTTGCGGCCTTTTACCTTTTATTTTTGGACAAGTTATGTGATGTTTTTAATTTTTTACCTTCTCACAAAAAAGTTGAAACTTTTAATTTCTCCCCCTAACAAACTTAATTGACAGATGAGTTCGTTTTTCTATTCCCCTCCTAAACTAAAGTTGGTTTAGAGGACTTTAGTTGGCTTTGCTAAAGACTCTTTCGTTATAAGAGGCAACAAGATGACATGAGAACAGAAAACACAGCACAATCTTAACTACTGTTTACACAATACCAACTATGTCTTATATGGATGCTGAGACAAAGACATATATTGTTGCTTCGATCGCAGTTCCTTTCCCTGTAATACAAAATAAAGTGAAAAGGGAAACATACTAAATGAGAATATCTATGAGTATCCACATAGAAACCAGGTAACTGAGTTGATGACTTTTCTCCGGAACTTCTAAGAGAGTACATTTTCTCAGAAACATGCAGATAAAACAAAAAAACAATAATGACGTTTAATGTTTACATGGTGGATAGAAACACAGGGAAATAAGACATGCAAAAGTAAGAAGGAAAGCTTGGTGTTGGTGAGAGATAAGACTTTGGGGCCATAGGAATGGAATTAGATGAATTAAGAGTCTCATGATCTCTTCTTCTATGGACCTGACTTGTGTTTCACTGCTTCGCTTCCCAGCCTCAAGCTCAAATTTGCAGCTAAATTTTTTCAATTTCGGGTTTCAAACTTTCAGTCAATTGGCTAGGCGGGCTCTAGGCGGGCCCTAGGCGGCAAGAGGAAATTGAAGATGAAGCAGCTGAACAAAGCAGGCTTCTCATGGATGATGATAAGACTGCGAGGAAGAAGAAGAAAGTAAGATTTGTGGAGGAGGAAGCAGGGTTGGATTCTGGCTTGCAAACATGTTTTGGTATCGAAAATCCGGGGAGGCCATTGAAGCAAATTATTGGTGCAGCCAAAGCTAAGGGATCCTATACTTCAAAAGAGAATCCAGTGGGAGATGCAAAAGTTGCTGGTAATCTTCCCAAAAGAAACAAGACCGGAAAATGTAAAGGAAATAGAAATAACGATACTACTGAAGATACAGATCTGATGATTAAGAAACTGATAATATCAATAAATGGAGATAAGGGGTTTCAGGAGAAGAAGTCAGCGAGACAGAGTTTCAACGGTGGAGCATGTGATCAGCCTGGACACATGAGAACAAACAAGAACTGCCCCAAGTATATTCATGGAGAAGATATCCATAGAGCTTCTCAAAAATCGGCTACTCTAAATCCATCTTGTCAATCTCAGCCGAAAACAAGGGCAAAGGAGCTGATACCTAAAAGCTCTGCAACTAAAATTTCGGTGATCGAAGCTTCCCAGGTTGAAAACCATGGTCTGAGCACAAAGCTTCCTAGATTGAAATTCAAATGTGGGCCTAACAAAATGAAGTCTGAAAATGTGCCAGTTGAACCCCCTAGTGTGAACCATGATACTGAATCACAAAGGGCAACTGTTGTTATACAGGCACCAGCAAATACAGATAGAGAAGAGGTGGAAAGTTCCCAACAGAAAGGGCCATCTGCGGAAGCGAAGAAAGAGCTGCATCGATATCATAAGAAAATTGTAATTAAACTTCCAAAAAAACTATTGATTTTAGATCATGATCATCAGGTCAATTTGCGTAAGGAAAATATACAACTTTGACTTCATCTCAGATGGCAGAAGCATCAATGAAAGAAAGTAGTTGCATCTCTTGTGTAAATTTATGACTCTCAGTTGTAATTTGCATAACAATCATTTAACCAATAATACCATCTTTGAAATAAGAAAAGCTTCCCAAAACTCCCAAAATTTGTCCACATACGTATCAGTTCTGAAATAATTTGTGAATGCTCAAACAATAATTCTTTGGTGAAAGGCAACCAAGACACCAGCAAACAAAGTTACAAAACTAAAGTTAATTTCAGGGTGACAAAGAAAGAGACTCTACATCTATCGAAACACATGTACACTAAGATACTTAAAAGAAAACTTACGAATCAATAGGCTGCTTGAGAAAAGTAGAATTATATGATAAAACCCGGTGACAGAACAACTACTTTCATTTCGATATTCATTTTGAAATCTTCTTAATGGGGAATATGTAATTGCAGCTTCTTTGGAGCAAAGGACAATAGCAGACATGATAAACCGATTAATTAAAAACTGTCACTATTTCCAAGTAAATTGAAAACAAATCCATCACTCTAACTCGTTGATACCCATTGCTTGTCACTATCATCAGTATATATTTCAACATACATTCAAATATACATAACCTGTATTTTCTGCTCACCAGTGTCTGACAATCTCAAGGATATGCTGATATCTATAACTTGCATTGGGCAGATATACAATTTCTCATTAAGTTATAACTTATAATTAAAGGAGTTTTATCAAACTCACTTAACACAACAAATTGACAGACATTATTGAAATGATTAAACATTTTACTGAGGAAAAAGAAAAAGAAAAGACAACTCAAAGAGTACCTTTTCTGAATAGTCAGATGATGAAACACAAACTTGCCGAGCAAACATATTGATCATTTCATCCACCTCCTGTCTTGATACTTCATTTATGTCTCGAATCTGCAGATTATATACAAAAAGGTAATAGTAGTTTAATGTTAAAAAAAATTTGTGAAGTGATCCAACAGGAAATGTCGTTTGAATCCAATTTTACCTTATTTAGTAATAAGGATTCTTCCTCGGTGGCTCTTTCAAGAGCAGTTGTGACAGAAGTGAGAAAAGAACCAAGCAAACTAAATTATTTCAATTTCGGGTTTCAAACTTTCAGTCAATTGGCTAGGCGGGCGCTAGGTGGCTAGGCGGGCTCTAGGCGGGCGCTCGGCGGCTAGGCGGCTAGCGGCTAGGTGGTTTCTAGGCGGGCGCTAGGCAGCTAGGCGGTGGCTAGGCAGTGGCTACGTGGCTAGGCGAGCGCTAGGCGGTCGCTAGGCCGGCTCTAGGCGGCAAGGCGGTCGCTAGGCGGCTCTAGCGCTAGGCGGTCGCTAGGCGGGCTCTAGGCGGCGTCGCTAGGCGGGCTCTAGGCGGCAAGGCGGTCGCTGGGCGGCTAGGCAGTCGCTAGGCGGGAGCAAGGCGGCCAGGCGGATTGGGTCTTTTCTTGGTGCCGAACCCCGGAGGAGGAAGCAACGACTGCGAGTGCAAGTTCCGTCCTTTGCGAGTGCAAGCTTCGTGTTCGTTGGAATATATTTAAATAGTATAGCCGAACGGCTATACCTTTAAAATATTCGAATCTATTTAGAAAAGAAAGTATAGCCGATCGGCTATACGTAAAATAAATTCGAACTGCACATCATATAGCCGGACGGCTATACTTTTAAGTATACAATTTTGTCATATTATTTTAGGGTTTGGGGCTAAAATACAAATAACATGAGAAGAAATTTCCAAATGCACATCATATCTCATTGAAAAATCTTCAAATTACTGTCCAACTTCTTAAATTACCGTGACAAGAAGATGAACTAGGTATGCACAATGTAGAAGGATGGTGATAGCTCTCTTTAGAAAGTATAAGGTAGTTCTTTGTTAATAAGTTACAAAAATATGGAATACAAAGTTATTCACCATATAAAATCAGATTCACCTCGATATTGTCATATCGATGGATAATGCCAAGATATTTAGCAGCTGCTTTTTGTACTTGTGTATTCGCTTTGTCTGCACATCAAACATTGCATCGAAACTAGCTTGCAGTTGAAAGTGTTAATAAATTTCAGTGTAATCTATTAGACATACCTTCAAGACAAAAGAGAAAAGATGAACAGGATAGAAGTTCTAAGAACTTGTGACCAAACCTTCACACCACTCATTGATTCAATGTACTCAGCGAGCCTCATTTTGTTAACCTTCTTAACCTACAACACGAGCAAATATACAACAGATTTAAATAATAATAATAATACAATAGAAGCCAAAAGCTTAATATATTTTTGGTTCCTAAGCAAATATCAAGCCTAGAGAGTACCATCATCCATTCTTGTTGAAGGTCAGGATCTGCTGCATATGCTCGCAAGCCAGTTGCAAGCAATGTCCCACGCTTTATTCCAACCCAAATGCTCTTCACCAACAAGCACTCTCATGACCTCAGCTATTTTTTAGAGATAGGTGGGTATCACTGACCTGCAGAGCACCCTAATTAAGACAAGGAAAAATGAGCCTAGGATAAAAGGAAACAGAAAAGCAAACATGAATGACCATCAGAGGAAAGTAATAAATATATGTTCATTGTAGCTAAACAAGCTGCCAGATTGGGTATTCCCTATAAATCAAGACTTAGACCTTCTCTGGAAATTCATCAAAGTTACTGTGAGACTCTTTATATCTCCGAATTATGTCTTATATGGATGCTGAGGCAAAGACATATATTGTTGCTTCAATCGCAGTTCCTTCCCCTGTAATACAAAATAAAGTGAAAAGGGAAACATACTAAATGAGAATATCTATGAGTTATCCACATAGAAACCAGGTAACTGAGTTGATGACTTTTCTCCGGAACTTCTAAGAGAGTACATTTTCTCAGAAACATGCAGATAAAACAAAAAAACAATAATGATGTTTAATGTTTACATGGTGGATAGAAACACAGGGAAATAAGACATGCAAAAGTAAGAAGGAAAGCTTGGTGTTGGTGAGAGATAAGACTTTGGGGGCATAGGCATGAAGAAAGACGTGCAAAAGTAAACAAGGAAGGTAAAAATAAGGGACAGGACGTTAAGTTTGACATTATTTGGGTTAGAGTAATTATTATTTTTAATTAAGAGTAAATTGGGTTTTTGCTTGAAGAATGATGTGCCAATTTTTAAAGTCTCTTATATTATATTTAATGAGGTGGCGTACGGAAGACAAAAGTCAAGCATATCCAAGCAAAGGTAAAAGTCGGGAATTTAAGAGGAGAAATTGACAATTCCCTTGTTTGGCAAGTTAAGCTCGGAATTTATTAAATGACGCGCGGAAAAAATCATGGAAATTGGAGCATCAAATTCCCAAGTTTAATTTCCATCAAAATAGGAGTCATTTAACAATTTCCATAGTGTCATTTACAAAATTCGACATACATAAATCCAAACATTGAAATCTTCAATTGCCAGAAATTGAAATGATGGAAATCAAAATTCCGTCATTTTAGAATTCTATGTAATTTTCAATTTTTCATCCAAACAAAGGGTCATATTTCCCTCCTATAATAAAGTAAGATCATCATTTAATACAACATTCAAGACCAATTTGTCCCCATTAACAATTTAGAATTACAATTTTATCCAACAACAAAAACCCTTTGTAATTTTTATTTTATTTTATATATTTCTAACTTAGGTATAATTGGAAAACTAACCAAAGTTTGCTTTCCATTGTAGAGATGAGAGAAACGCATGCTAGTCTAAATACTTATTAGTATTACCAATCAATGAAAGATTGAATTTCTTCAAAATGCTAAAAAAAATAAATAAACTTTAATTTTAATTACCAAGTGCCAAAATCCACATATGGAGTCCTACTTGTACATGTATGAGTATGACACGTTTTGTTTTGTTTTCTCTTATTTTTTGTCTTTTGGTGTGGAAAGCTTGCGGCCTTTTACCTTTTATTTTTGGACAAGTTATGTGATGTTTTTAATTTTTTACCTTCTCACAAAAAAGTTGAAACTTTTAATTTCTTCCCCTAACAAACTTAATTGACAGATGAGTTCGTTTTTCTATTCCCCTCCTAAACTAAAGTTGGTTTAGAGGACTTTAGTTGGCTTTGCTAGACTCTTTCGTTATAAGAGGCAACAAGATGACATGAGAACAGAAAACACAGCACAATCTTAACTACTGTTTACACAATACCAACTAGAGCTCTTGCATCTTTTCACAATGTTGGAAGAGGCGCAAGATCGAATCTCCCGTCTCCGTTAATAAATAAAAAACTAATAACTTAACACAGCATAAGATAAAGGATCAGATAAGGAGAGAATCAATGTTGATTAGGAAACTACACATGCTAGCGCAAGCTTTAGCAGAGCAAGAACAAAGAAACAAACATCATATTAGTACCTGGCCAGTGCCACCAAGGCTAATGGGCTGGACTGGCAAGATTTTTTTACTGCTGTTATCCAATGGTTCACGTTCAAACTGTGTTTTTTTTTCCAAATAACTAACAGCCATCTCAATATCTAACGGCCCACATTCAATCAAATAAAGTTCAACAGTAGAAAATAGAATCCAAAGTTTTACTATCTATCAATCTAGCTCATATTCAAATTTTCACGAACTCCTTCCTGCATATATATCATGATGGCTTTAACTTTTCAAGCTCCATCAACGTGCTCAAGGGCATCGATCTCATCACCATCTTCCATTCCAAGCTGCACAAAGTTGCGTAGCAACTAATAAGAATCAATGGACACATGATTGAAAACAGAAATATATAGTGCTTGACTTTAAATTCCACAAGAAGCATAACTTTTGTTCAAACTGGCTTTGATGCATCAAAGGGCATCAGCTAGTAAAGTAACAATCATTTCACCAACAATTAAATTACAGCTTATGATGACCTATCATGAATTCGATGGTAGTTGAACCTAAGCCCTGTCGGATTTAACACAAAGCCAACAAGCTATAAAGGGTAGTTTTTAGCTCTATACAAGTCATGATGCATAATATAATCCCCACTTTGGAGAATACAACAATAATCTGCATTATCAACTACATGTAGCCCACTACTAATTGCACCTAGCCCTTTCGAGTGAAAACCGTACACGTAGAGGGTCCATTGAGCATTCTCCCACCCAAAAGGTAGTATAATATTTAGTTCACGCTTGGACTTAGTAGTGCGTTCCTACAAGGCCCGTGACACAACTCTAGCAACAATTAAATTTATTTTCATGATGATTAACATTCTAAGTAACTTTTATGAACTTTTACCTCCTCCGGAGTTTTGTTCTTCTCGAGTCCGACGCCATCAAACGTGAATTGCATTGATTTGGGGTCAAGGGAACGCTTTTTGCAGAATGCTTCCATGAGTTTTTGCAGTTTGATGCTTCGTTTAACCCGGAAAAAAGTTTGAACTCCATCCTACACGTGGATCTCATCATATAACAAATGAATCCCATCAAACTATAGTGGATCTATTTATTCTAAGATATGGCATTATAATTCAGTGATAATTTGGTGATATTCAACAGAGAAAACATGAAACTAAATAAGGTACGGCGGGTAGAAAAGTCAATGTACACAATCAACAGAGAAAACAAAGAAATTAATCAACAAAATAAATAAACAAGAAGGAAAGATGATTGGTAAACTAACTTTTTTTTTTTTTTTTTTTTTTTTTTTTTTTTTTTTTTTTTTTTTTTTTTTTTTTTTTTTTTTTTTTTTTTTTTTTTTTTTTTTTTTTTTTTTTTTTTTTTTTTTTTTTTTTTTTTTTTTTTTTTTTTTTTTTTTTTTTTTTTTTTTTTTTTTTTTTTTTTTTTTTTTTTTTTTTTTTTTTTTTTTTTTTTTTTTTTTTTTTTTTTTTTTTTTTTTTTTTTTTTTTTTTTTTTTTTTTTTTTTTTTTTTTTTTTTTTTTTTTTTTTTTTTTTTTTTTTTTTTTTTTTTTTTTTTTTTTTTTTTTTTTTTTTTTTTTTTTTTTTTTTTTTTTTTTTTTTTTTTTTTTTTTTTTTTTTTTTTTTTTTTTTTTTTTTTTTTTTTTTTTTTTTTTTTCCTCCTCAAATGCAGGTGCATAACCCTGATTTTACACATGAAGAAAAAGATTAGATGAATCAAATTCAGTATCTATTAAAGTTCAGGCAATTACTCGCAGAGAGATACCTCCATTTTCTAAAACCTACCAGGATTTTTAACTAGGAACTACATTGCAAAATCATTATAAAATGACAAAAAAAAACTTTGAACCATATAACTACCCCATTAACTGCCCAATTAGTTAACTGATCATTCATGTAAACCACCAGATTGATTTTCAGATATCACAGTTTCATGTCTTAATCCATGCTTAATAATAACATACCATCTTCCAAAGATTATTCTTTTATGTATTAAGTTCTATCCTGGAGTAGTTTGTGTGACTTGGATATACCTTTATTCCATTAAACAGGAATTTGGTGTCTGCACACTAACCAGACATTAAGAAAACAAAAAATATATTGAACAAGTAACATCATTTGACAATCGAAATTAAACGTGCCATTAGATTTGATTGGCTTTTAGTCGCTTGTAGTCTGTGCATCAGTGAACAAGACCTTGGATGTTGACAGAACATAATATGGGATTTGCAAAGCATGAATTAAGCAAAATTGATTCTAAAATAAGACATATAAAAGATGCTTACAAGCTCTTCATTTAATTTATCCAAAGCTTCATAGTTGATTTTTGCACTCAGCCTCTGCAAGAACAAAATGTCACATTAGTATCTGTTAAATAAATTATAAGTAGGACAATCAACATTGCAGGAAAATTTAAGGACCAAAAATCCCATAAACCAGTTTATTATTAACTTACATTCTTAGTATCCATCACAGTAGAAACTTTGACAGCCTTTTCTGGCTTTTTAGCAGGAGCAGCTTTCTTGGCCATTCTGGCTCGTTTTCTACTCTTTCCCTGCCAATTTTATAGTTGCACATAGAGATCAATACATAAGACTCAATGCTGGCAGTAAAACATACACAAATAATCGAAAGATCAAAAAATAAGTCAAATGCAAATAAGATTGAAGTGAAAACTTTCAACACAGTATGCAGTGTGTGACTCAAATAACAGCTCAGAACTAGGCAAGAACTCCACGCTGGATGAGACTTCCAAGCCTATGCTTCAGATCACAATGCACATATGACATGCAGCAAACATAAACTCAAATAACAGCTCAGAACTAGGCAAGAACACCAAGCTGGTGAGACTTCCAAGCCTATGCTTCAGATCACAATGCACATATGACATGCAGCAAACATAAACTCAAATACAAGAAACGAGGTCAGTTTTAAAAGTGAAGAATTCCTGCACAATCACAGAGCTAAGGAGAATGAAGAGGCAAATAATGCAGGGGCTGATAATCATGATTAACTACATACATAACCTCAATGATTTTTAATCTAAAGACTCAAAAGCCAAAAATATAGATAACAAATAAAAAGAAACCATGGAACAAACAGAAACTAAGAAAGCCCCTAGCATTGCACCGAATCCTTGTGAACACACATGATAAAATTTATGGATTTCCAAAGGCATTACCTTATCATAGTCCTTGTTCATTGCTTCCCAAATCATTCTTTTGAACAGTGCCGCCTGCTTGCTGTTAAGGTACCCAAGCATCATGCCTTCCATGTCAAAATTCCAAAAATAAAAAATTGAAGCAACAATGATATACAAATCCAAATCAAAGACAGCACTTTACTGATAAGTCTAGACTAAGCACTATATACCAAGTGGCTATGATGGAAGTGATCTTGAAGAAAGCTGATGGATCATGGGCAGGGGGTAACTTTCAGTTTCAGGATCACTGCTATTGTCTGTCATTAATTTTTACCCTCTATTTTCAAACATTGAAAATGTGGTAGATTGTCATGAACCAAGAACAAAACTTTTCACAATAACCATGAAAGGATATTCCAAGAGCATTGATATGTAGATTAAATTCAAATCATCATTGAGGAATTTGAGCATCTACCTTCTATTCATCAACGTGAGAAAAATGGGCAACCACGATTCAAACTCAAGAAAAGCAAGAGCAATATACCTCTGGTTTTTATTTTCAAAAATAGTACAGGCGCGCGGCTATACTATGTTTGACTTAGGCATAGATATAATCACCAAAACCTGCAACACATGATCATGAACACTTCAATGGAGAAATTGACGGTAGGGAGCTTAGGCACTGATTCGAGTAGCTTAGATCATTTAAATTTTTTTTTAAAAAAAAATACTTGGGTACGGCTACTATTTTGGGGGGAAAAAATAGTATAGCCGCTCGGCTATACTATTAATAAATAAAAAAAGACCCGACTAACACCTTATGGCCATGTCTGACCAGTATAGCCGTTCGGCTATACTATTTACAAATTTAAAACAGGGACCCGCCTAGCCCCTCAGCGCCCACGTGTGAAAACAAGTATAGCCGCGCGGATATACTAATTTTTGTTTCAAATGCCCGGGTATAGCCGACTGGCTATACTGTTTTGAAAAATGCGCAAGCAGGGTATGGCCATGCGGATACACTATTTGCTATTAAACAAATGTCAATTTTTTTTTTTTTTTTTTTTTTTTTTTTTTTTTTTTTTTTTTTTTTTTTTTTTTTTTTTTTTTTTTTTTTTTTTTTTTTTTTTTTTTTTTTTTTTTTTTTTTTTTTTTTTTTTTTTTTTTTTTTTTTTTTTTTTTTTTTTTTTTTTTTTTTTTTTTTTTTTTTTTTTTTTTTTTTTTTTTTTTTTTTTTTTTTTTTTTTTTTTTTTTTTTTTTTTTTTTTTTTTTTTTTTTTTTTTTTTTTTTTTTTTTTTTTTTTTTTTTTTTTTTTTTTTTTTTTTTTTTTTTTTTTTTTTTTTTTTTTTTTTTTTTTTTTTTTTTTTTTTTTTTTTTTTTTTTTTTTTTTTTTTTTTTTTTTTTTTTTTTTTTTTTTTTTTTTTTTTTTTTTTTTCCCCCAGACTTGGCATTTGTCATCAGTGTGTTAAGTAAATTCCGGTCCAATGTTGGAAACGCTCATTGGAATGCAGTAAAGAAAGTGTTTTAGGTATCTGTAAAAGGCAAAGAGTAACATGCTGGTTTAAAAGAGAACTAAAGATTTTTGCAGGATGTCCTGAAGTACGTCGACCTCTAGTAATGTATTCTTGTTGGATGAAGGGGCAGTTTATTGAAAGGAGTCAAGGAAGCAACAGTTGCAGTTTTATTGTAATAATACAAGAGCAGTTTTATTCTAAAGAAACAATAAAAGATCTGTAGGTACCAAGCATTTTCTTGATGGTTAAAGAAAAGATCAAGGAGAGGCATCTCAAGATAGATTACAAAGATACAAAGTCTATGGTTACATATCCACTTAATAAAGCTGTGCCAGTAGATGTTTTAAGAGCCATGTTGAAAGGATGAGGATCTTGGCAAGCATTCATTCAACAAACTTGATTAGTTCATATCTTGATGGCGTTCCATGTAGATGAAAGATTTGTGTACATGATCTTGGGGAATGTTTTTAAGTTTAAATGAACATTACTCCCTCTGGTCTTGCATAAATACTTTCATCTGACAGGAATTTGATTATAGGACTTTGTTGTTGTGAACTCATGGCCATACAATACAACTGCGTTTGAGCTATAGATTGACTGTTAGCCCTAGTGGGAGACCGTAAGCATAAATAAGGGCTTTACACTCATCCTAGTGGATTACAACTCAAATGCAGAAGTAGAGTCCATTTACAATTCACCTTGTTGCTCATACAGGTGCTGATACAAGAACAAATTTAAAAGCTTAAATGAATTAGATTTTTCACTTGAGGTGGTGTAATATTTCAATATTTTTTTTCTGTTCTTTGGTGGGTTGGTTTTGTGTTCCTATGTGCAAGAGGAGGAGGAGACATCTTTTTTTTTTTTTTTTTTTTTTTTTTCAGCAAACAAGAGGGCATGATCAAATGTCAAAATCTATAACAGAAATACAATATCCAAAGAATGAAGAGCAGTCCAACCAAGAAGAACCATCAATGGATGAATATTGAATGCATAAAGATTAATCAAGTTTCATGCGGAGTTGGCAGAGGGGAGGAATTGTCATCGTTGTCGTTGGTGTGGTGAGGTGAACATGTCGTTTGAGAGAGAGCCAAGAGAGGAGAATAAGGCGGGAAGCATGGAGAGGAATGGAATTAGAGGCATGAGATCTCTTCTTCTACGGAACTGACTTGTGCTTCCCAATTTCAATCTCAAGCTCAAATTTGCAGCAAAATTTTTTCAATTTCGGGTTTCAGACTTTCAGTCAATCGCAGTGTTTGAAAAATCGGCCTAGGCGGCTAGGCGGGTTGGCTCATTTTTTGGTACCGAACCTAGAGGACGAAGCAGCCAAAACCGAGGAAAACAAATCGAAGGTTGAGTTGATAGAGAGGCGAAATGGCTGTGACTGCAAGTGCAAGCTTAGTGTTCATGTTGAATATATTGAAAGCGTATAGCCGCGCGGCTATACGTTTAGAATATTTTAAAGAGAGTAGCCGAACGGCTATACACGGCAGCTATACTCTTTAACTATACAATTTTTTCATATCATTTAAGGGTTTAGGGCTAAAATACCACTTTAGCCCATTGGGCTACAGTTATTTCTTCAATTATTTTATTTATACAAGCGACGTTGGGGAATGAGAATTTAAATTCTTTCCGATACATTCCATTCAAATATGTAAAATGTTGCTACTGGGGTGTGGATGAGGGTGAGGGTGAGGGTGAGGGTGAGCTAGCCATCAGAAGGGAATCTGCACGGTTCAATTCCCCAAGTCTTCTCCGCGTAGTCTTGGATTGTTCTGTCGCTGCTAAATATCCCTGATCCGGCTGTGCTAAGGATGCTCATCTGAGTCCACTTATTTGGATCCGCAAATGCTTTATCAACAGCAGCCTGTAGTCATATAGATTCAAATCCCATGCACCATAGTAAGTTATACAACACCATACTTCCAAGTGCATATATATGCTTTGGGTTGGGACTGCCAAGTAAACAGAAATAATTACCTGAGCCTCTAAATAGCTCTCAAAATCAGAACCAAGCAAATAGAAGTCTTTACCACCGTCCACAGTATCACATAGAGATTGAAAATAGTCTTTAAAGCCGAAATAGCCATCTCGGACCATCCTACACATAATAAATATCACAGCAGAATTAGAACCTGGGGAAACAGTTCGCTCAGAACATTACACAATGGTAAAAAACGACACCAAACACATGCCCTCTAAAGAATCTGAAAATTCTAGACTGGTCACCCCAATCACTAACTGGCTAAGTGAGTAGGATTGAAGTGACTGTAATTGCGTACCTTATAACACGTGCACATTGCAGTGGTATTTTAGAAGATCCTTCCTCACGCAATTTGGGAACTTCAAGAATCTTTGCCCCAAACAAAAACTGGAGAAAGCAAATTCTAAGAGAATTATCATTGCTATACTACAAAAAAGTATATACTATATACCAATCTAAAATCTTGAAATAGTGAATACACAGATTCCATCTTGCAGAAGTTACAGCAAAAGAAAATTTCAGTTGGTCTACAATACTTGACATCACAATCAGCTAAGCTGAATACAACTACTTGTGACGCTTTCAGCTAGTGAGTTTTGATGAGAGCAACTCTGATTAAGGACAATACCACAAGAAAATACTTAAATAGGACATATTTCTTGAGAAAAAGTTGCGGCAGAAAAGCGTACAGAAATAATTAAAAAGAAAGAAAATTGACTACATACCGTAAAGAAAACTAATTCCTCATTTGCAAGAGCTGCTTTGAATTCATTCTTTTCCAGTTTCTCTTTGATGAAATGTTGTAACTGCATAAAGAAAATTGGCCTAGGCGGTCGTGATTGTACATAATGGTGCAGTCCTCAACAATATAGCATATGCATTCATGGTTAGAAAACCTGCTAAATGAGGTAATACAAGCATCTGTCATGTAATTCTCAGTGTTTTACAACTAATATTTGGAGGTAGGAAGAGACAATCCGTTACATGTTTAAGTTTTGCAAAGATTTGTGGCTCAACATCTTCAAGATTGAAGTGATATAGTTACACGTGCCTTCAGAGTTCTTGAAAATTAGAAAACCAACCACCAAAATTGGGAAACTACTCTATAAAAGTAAAGAGATATGCAAATATAAACAACAGCAGACTTAATGGCAGAAAACTATAAAGATGTATCATAGGAGTGGCCTCAGTGTCCTCCTAAGTACATTGAAGAAATATTTTCCTTTTCCAACACCTATTACAGACCAATTAGCAAAGGACTTGTCAAACAAGTACAGCCCACCGGCTATACCATCTTTGTTTAAAAAATTAAAAAAATAAAGGAGTATAGCCGCACGGCTTGACTATTTCTTATTTAAAAAAATGCCATGTGTTGAAAAAGTGCAGCCGACCGGCTATACTACAACACAAGACTAAAGAATATGGAGGGAGGGAGAGAGAGGAGAGGAGAGAGAGAGAGAGAGAGAGAGAGGCTGGATTATTCTCTGGCTTTTCAAACTCGCTTCCATTGATGGCAAATCCAATGCATTGCTCTCATCCACTGATAGGCAGGGATTGCATGTCACATTGCTTGGATATTGAGATCAACGCCGTCACTGTATTCTCAATTCAATCATTGTGTACCCATCACATAA